TTCCTTTTGGAAGAGACTCAAGGCCAAGGTTGGTCTTTTAGGGGGGGGCTGTCCAATCTCTGTCCCCAGAGAACTTGATCTCTGTCCGCTCTCCAGAAGCCTGTAAGTCGTGAGGCTGGGAGGAGAACATTTATATACAGATGTGAATCCAGCCAAGGGTGGCTACAGAGAGGAAACAGTACTCTTTGCTTTCTGTTTCAGTTTTAAATAAGATCAGTCCAAGAGAAACCAAAAGTACAACCCTGGGTAGTAAAGAAACAGAAGGGACCAAAGTCTGTCCGACTCCCTCCCCATCCATCTTGCTGCGACCCATTCTCTGACACCATCCGAGAGACCATGAGACTCTTACTATTAAAGGAGTTACCTCAGCAAGAAGTTCCACCTCTACTGGGCCAGATAGTCCAAGGCCCACTACACCCAACTTTGAGCCTTTAAGACCTTTGCCCCCTAGAGGAAAGAGGGAATGCATTCCAACACCTCTGAGGTCGATGTGGTTCCATTTTGCTGGGAGATGACTTGTTGTTGACAGTTTTTCTTCCTGGTCTCTTTGTGGGGCTGTAGAAGAACATCAAAGGGGTGGAAATGCTATTTTTACCCCTAAAGCAAAGCCTCATACTGGGCAGAGGCAGACAAACCAGCCATGCTCCGATGAATTAAGTACACATATTTGGAAGACAGCAACTTGGGTGCCATAGGTTTTCTTAGGGGATGAGCCTTCCACTGCCTTGTGTGTGTGACAGCCAGGTGTCTAAGAACGCAAACGCAAGGCTGACAAGGCTGATACGGCTGTTCTCATGTTCCTCTTTAGTAGGCCTCAGAGCCACCCAGTGTTATTCCCAATGACTTACACTCTTTAGGGATCTCTGACAGCCTGAAGTCATTGGCCTTCCTAACAGGCCCAGGTCTTTGGGTCAGAGCCATGTCTTTCTTACAGCGTTGGTTTCCCCTGGCTCAGTAGTGTGCCTGTTGCTCAGCACTTGGTGCGATGTCCTCTCCATCCTGTGTCATGATGGTTGGCCAGACCTCCAGCAGCCGCCTGTTTCTGCGGGAAGACGCTTGATGGTGAACGCACACCAAGCGAACTGTCCAATAGTGACAACCAGGAGGGGAAAGGCCACTTCAGAGCAGGCTGGGTGTTCAGACGTGTTCACTCCAGTGCTGTTGCTAAGGAGGAAAAACGAAGCATGGAGACGATAGGGCTCCTCGGTGAGGGAGATGGGTAAACCGAGGCACAGGGGAACACAAAGCGAGACAGCGAGCAGCTATCTTAAATAAGGTACAGGCAAGTTTCCAACAGGATGACCAGTAGAGTGTGCCGTCACGGGTGTGAGAGCGCAGGAAGGCATTCACACATGCGGGATTTGGGGAGAGCTGGGAGGAGGCACAGGAAGCAATGCTAGCGGTTTCTGAGGATTCAGAGTTAGCAGTGAGAACTTGATTACTGTCAGTTAAAAAAGACATGGTGGTACTGCTGCGTGTGTGTGTGTGTGTGTGTGTGTGTGTATGTGTGTGTGTGTGTACACTAACTAAAAGAACAGCTGTCAGGGCTGGAGAGATGGCTCAGTGGTTAAGAGGACCAGTTGCTCTTCTAGAGGACCCCGGTTCCATTCCAAGCACCCACAGGCAGTTCACAACCGCCTGGCACCCTTACGCAGACAAACACGCAGGCAAAAATGTCAGTGCACTTAAAAGGAAATAAATTTTTTAAAAAAGAACATCTATCTTTAGAAGGCACTGAGAAAAGTTCAGTCTAAAAACTTCCCTCCCTGTGCAGGGCAAAGCAGGATGCAGAGAGAGGGATGAGGCCAGCTGCGGACACGTATTTCCCTCTGCAAGTGGTTCTTGGCTCTGCCTGGGGCTCATCCATGGCCAAACCAAACAAACTCCCAGCTCCCCAAGGAGGTGGTGACTAGACTGAACAAGGGATTTCTGAAAACAGCCTTGGAGAGACTGAACATTCACTGGCCTTTGCTGCCATCCTTGCTCTGGAAGATGGCCACATACTCCTCAACACCTCACACCACACTGAGCACATAATTCACTGCCGTGGGGGAAATAGTATTTTAACTAGGCAAAGACCTGTTACATTGTTTATGCTGTGGAATACTACTTTAACTATGTGAAGCTGTGTTACTTCTGCTGCCTTTGCTAATGATGCAAAGATGTGTTGCTTCTGTGTACGAGGCGTTTGGTTAACTATGTAAAGATGTGTTGCATTTGTTTCACCTTGACTGCCTAAGGGGCCTGATTGGCCTAATGAAAAGCTGAAGGGCCAATAGATAGGCAGGAGAGGGACAGGCGGGGCTGGTGGGCAGAAAGAATAAGTGGGAGGAGGAATCTAGACTTAAGAAAGGAGAGAAAAAGGGAAGGAGGGAGAAAGAGAGGGACATGCATGGAGCCATCAGCCAGACGTGGAGACAGCAGGAAAATAGGATGGACATAAAGAAGGACCTGGGCCAAAGCACAAAGAGAAACAGAGGAAAATAAGAGCTAAGCTAAAGCCAAGCACTCCAAACTAATAGGAAGCCCTGTGTAAAGATTTGGGAGCTGGTTGGTGGCCTGAAAGAAAAAGCCTGATGCACATTACTCTATAGCCATAGGCAACTGGGAAAAACGCTCACCAGTTCACCAGTGCTCACTGCATGAAACCAAATTTTACTTTAGCACTCAAGGTGCTTGTGGCTTGTCCTCACAGGCCCTCTCCCTCCCAACTTGCATGATTTCTCAGTGTGTGCAAACACATACCTTCCTTGGAATCTGATGAACACCTGGTTGGAATTCTGACGGCCACATACCCCCATGTGACCCTAATCAAGTCCTCTGACCCCTCTGCACCTTGTTTCCTCATCTGGGGAATGGGGATCACATCCTCTTCAGGAACGGATGTGGAGTCGTCAGAGTTAATTGACTGTGAGCAGGAGGCCTTGATCACCGCAGGGGCTGCTGCAGCATGGCTGCCCGTCCTTCTCCAAGCTGTTCCAGGCCTGCCCTAGCCAACCCTCTTGGCCTTCCTAGCTGGCGTGTCTGGCAGAATGTTGATTCCTTGACCTAACCCCAGCAAAGCCATGGAAGCCTGCGGTGGATCCTGGGAGCTTGTTCCCAGTGACATGGACAGTGGCGGTCACTCGGGCATGTACTGGGCCCCACCGGCACTGGGTTTCAGCCTTTGTAGGTATGAATTATCAAACCCAGTTCATGTGGTACGGGGGATCGCACCCAGGGCTTCCTGCATGCCAGGCAGGTATTTTACCAACCGAGCTACGCCTTCAGGCTGTTTCCACTCTAGTTTTTTGGGTGCTTCTCGTGGGAGAATTTGGAGGGGCATCCTGCTTTCCCCTCTCAGGGTCCTAATAACTTCTGTCCCCAACAGTGCCTTCCTATGCGCCGGGCTCTCAATAAGTGCTCAAGGACCTTCCCAGCCACCCGATGTCCTGGTCACGCCTGGGGCTGCAGTTGTGCTCAGGGAAAGCGGTGGTATAGCTCACCACACTGACCATTAAGTTCCCAGAAAGGGATCAGCCCCACTCACCTGTGTCTATCTCCGGACAAAGCAGCCCATCTGGGTTTTCTTGGAAGGAAGGAAGGAAGGAAGTTTTCCTCAACTGGGGTATGTATGCCTTGAGCTCTACAGGGTCACTTCAGATGGTATCCTAAGCACCTTACGGGTTCAGGTTCAAGGCAACTGGCCACACTCTCTGGGTGATTTGGGCAATAGCTTTGGTAAGGAACCGACACGCTGTCTCCAGGGAGCTATAGTTCGGATGTGGTTGCCACTCAACTCCTGCCAAAGGTTCTCGCATTGGAAGACTGGCCCTTGCATGGTGGCGTAGCAACTGTAAGAGGTTGAGTCTAGTGGGAGAACCTTGAAGGAGATTACAGTGTGTCTTATGGGACCCTGGTTAGTTCTCCCAAAGGTTATCCTAAGAGCCCCCGCCTGGGTCTTCGCCTCAGTCAAAGCAACGGACACTTCTCCCACACGGACACTTCTCCCACACGGACACTTCTCCCACACGGGTCCCATTTATAGTGTGATAGTTCTGCCGTCCTTACCAGAGGTCAAATACGGCTGTCTGATCTTGAATCTAGAGCCTTCTAAGCGGTGACTTGTGTAAACCTCTTTCCTTCCTAAGTCGTTTGCTTTGGGTACCTCATGGTAGAAATGAAAGCTCTCCCCAGTACAGAGGGCTGAGGCTGAGTAGGCCATAGGACACCCGTGTCATCCTTGGGAAAGGTCTGCCTTGTTTTTTGTTTTGTTTTTGAGACAGGGTATCTTATTGGTCAGTGGGGCTGGGCTGACACGCACTCACCACCACATCAGCTATTCATGTGGCTTCTGGGGATTAATTGAGGCCCCCGTATTTGTATGGCAAACACTTTACTGCCTGAGCCACCTGCCCTGGCCCGGGCTCTCGAGGACAATGTGCCCTCCCCTAACATAACCAACCTCACAGTCCTAACTAGCTCACCATTACCAACAGGTGCAGCAAAGACAGTCCCAGGGCCCTCAGCAGAGCAAGTGGGCAGGTGCTGGTGCTGTCCAGGGTTCTTTGGGAGGGAGAGTAAGTCTTTGGTGCAGAGGGGTGGGGAGTGGGGAGCGGGGAGGGGGAAGGGGGAGAGGCAGGGGGGTGTTGTTTGTGGAAAGGTCTCACGTGCCCAGAGGACTAGAGCTCCAGGTTGAAGACGCCGTTCAGAAAGCTTCTCATTTCTTCCAGGGCCTCCCGTCTTCCCTCCCTCACAAACTGGATCTATGAAGCAAGGCCTTGTGTTGGACTCTGCCCTGTGGCCGCCTTTCAAAGGCCCTTTCGGGGGACCCTCCAGGCAGTGCACAAGCTGCCCCAAGGGCAGAAGTATTCCATTTTGTTATTTTAAAATTTTCCCCAAGGGTGTACGAATAAGATGGTGCGTGTGCAAGAGCTTTGCTGGCCAATAGGAAATCTGTCCTCACCCCCAACTCTGCTTTAAAAGACTTCCTGAAGTAAACACAGACTCTACACTGCTTATGAGAATTTAATTCTCCCTTTAATATAAATAAGGCGGCGCGAGACCCCAAGAGCCTGCCGCTTCAGAAGCAGACCTGGTACAACACAGGCTCCTGTTCCCGCCAAGTGCCCCGGCAAGCGAGAAGCCAGCCGCCTTCATCCTGTGACCTTTCTCCCAGAAGTGAAAGGAAGCTGAGACGGTCAGGCGTGGTCTTGGCCTCTGGAGGCTCGTTCTCGGTTGCTGGGCTCTTTGAAACACAGCGGGATACGAACGGACCCGGACAAGGCACAGATGACATCTGCCCCGACTCTGGGAGGTACCTATCCGTCAAGGAGGCTCGGGGCGCAGACAGAGCCACACTTTGAGTAGGCTGTTTATAGGGCCCTAGATGGCCACTTTGAAGTTGTGAAGGGGCGGACCACACACGCTCAGTCTAACTCCTGCTTACAGTCAGGCATCCTATGGTCTCTGGTTACCCTGTGGGCAGTAGCTTGGTGCCTAAATGGTCGGTCTCCTGGAGCTCTCCGAGGCCGGGTGAGGTATGCGTGGAGCCACAGGAAGCCTGGCTGTGATGCCTGCAAGGCTTTGCTGTCTCCGCTTCCGGAGGCCTAGTGGTTGCCGCCTTGTTCTTCATCTGCGCTTCTTCTTTGGTCCACTGTCCAAGTTACTAAGGAGATGTGGAGACTGACTCACACAGTCCATCACGTTCAAGTGGAGGAGAGGCCGCTGGATCCTGACACGGGCCTGGACAGGAGTCCAGCTCCAGCCTCGGGCTCTGAGGCTTGTCTGGGGGCCCACGACTCTCCTTCCAGTTCCCAGGCTGAGTCTGCAGTGGCCACATAGATCCCCAGTGAGTCCATGCTCTTTCAGTCTGGGTCACCCGTGAGGTCAGCAAGGCCTGAGCAGAGAAGCCTGGCTATGTACTGCGGGCGAAGCCCTCTTGGAGTTAGGAACTGGCAGATGCTTTGGGCCTGTGGACTGGGAGCTGGGTTTCTATAGCGCCTCTGGCTTATAAACCCACCCTCCCTAAGACCAGGACCCCGAGGACAGCTTAGGGCTATCATAACCCTTCGCCACAGTCCTGTAACATTCTCCAAAGTGGGCCAAAGTGCAAGCCAGACACCAGTGTCTGTGCCCCTACACTGCTGCTCAGTGAGAGCGGCTATGGGGATGGGAGGGGCTTCCGAGCCAGCACCCAATGTGGTAAATGGTACCCACGGTGGTCAGGACCTGGTACAAGGGACAGGGAGAGGGTGTGCACCTGAGTAAGATGTGTGGCTGAAAAACTAGCCAGTTTTAGACTCTCCACCACCAAGTACCCATTTCTGTGTAATGGAGACATAGCCACCTGGACCGCTGCCAGGTTCTTTTTGCCAAATAGTATTAAAAAATGGGGACCTCCTGTGGGACCTCTATTGTTGTGCACGATGTGGTTCAAAGGCTGTGAATTCCCACATCTCTCCCCATTCATGATTCAGCTGCCAGGAGTTGCTGGAATAGAGTGTTGAGTCTTAATCCGATCCCAGGCAATATCCTAGTAGATCCTCTCTATTGATACGAGGCACAGGATAGACTGTGGTCCAAAAACAGGATTTCATTCACATCAGCGCTTGCTTTCTCTCTAACTCGGTACCCAGGACTGTCCCATCACTGTCTTGGTCATTCATAGTGATCTAAGCTACAAAGGATCGGTGCCCAAACCCAAACAACGGTTTCACCAACAAAGCCCCTGCGGCAGAAAGGCAGACCCGTGTCCAGTTGCAATTCTGTTTCCTTCACTCTGCAGGACCTGGCTTCCCAGCAAGCTGAACCTCAGCGCCCCTCCAGGCCTGCTGCGTTTTCCTGCACCAGTTAGGTAGGCACACGGGATGCTCTCCCCCGGACCTAGAATCTCACGCTCTACAAGGCGATAGCTTTTGGTGGTGGGCTGGCACGGTCCGAAGGGACATGGAGGGAGTATTCGCTAATGAGCGTCGGGGCATTCTTAAGCATTTCATAGAACGAGTTCACCGTGCTGTGGTAAAGAGTCCTCTGCAGGACGAAGGGCCGGAAGAGGTTTATAGGTTCAGCTCTCCGCACGACCTCTGGGAGTCCCAGCGCCTCAGGCACCTTCCGGTTGCCCACAAAGAAGTGAAGGAGCTTCTTCTCCAGGAGGCTCCTCTCCAGGAAGCAGAAGAGCTCCTGCAGACGCACATCCAGCTGGTTGGCCCTCCAGTCAGCAGCCCGCCGGGACAGCAGGAGGTGCAGCAGGGCGGTCTTCAGGTGGTAGTTGCTCAGCCCACTGGGGCCTGTCAGGCGGCTCTGCTTGGAGAGCAAGAAGGAGGCAATCTGCAAACAGCTGAGGTGGCAGGCGCCCTCCGGCAGAGCCTTCGCAGTCATGCGGAGGAACTGTAGCTCATAGACAGCAAAGGACAGGAGCCAGTCGGTGCTGGAGGCTGGAGTGCCCCTGCAGGGCTCCTTGGGGAGTTGTGGGACAAAGTATAGGTCTGAGTCCTTACACTGGATCACAGGTGTCACGATGAAGGGCATGAACTTGCCTGAGCGGAACTTGATTCTGAGAGACCCTGGGGTGTCTAGCTGGCCAAAGGCAAGGTCAAACTCGTATTTGTGGGCGATGCGGTGCCAGGCTTTGGTGAGGGCCACCTGGAACCACTTCATGACCTGCATAGCATCTAGATATGAGGACTCTTTGGAGCACAGCAAGTCCTCCATCTCATCCCTCCCACCAGCGCCAGGCTGTCCCCCGCCACTCTTGCCATGGAGGAGACACAGCATGTCCTCTCCAAGCTTAGTCTTGCCACAGATACAGCCCAGAGGGTCCCCACCAGCCGGGGTCACCTTGATCTGCCCGTAGCCCTGATAATTCAGGGGCATCGAAAGTTTGGAGCACCAGAGCTCTGGGTGGAAGCTGTAGGGCTCCGGGGGTATGAAGGGCACAAACAGGTGACACAGCAGTGGCCTCTCCACGTGCCAGTTTTCATACATGCTACCCACGCCAATGAAGTCCTCCGTCTCCATGTCAGTGTCTCGGTTGCAGACACTCCTCAGAGCCTCCAGCAGGTCATCCACGAAGCCTTCCACAAACTCCCGGGTACGGGTGGCGTCACCCGTGGCACTCCGGATACAGTGCTCGTAGAAGTGGTCCAGGGTGGCTTTCTTGGGCAGGGGAAGGCCCCGCAGTGGGGTACCCCCCAGTCCAGACAGCTCATCCTCGTCTCCACCCAGGCACTCTGGAAAGGGCCCGTCCTGGTGGTCCTGCCGCCATATCTCGATGATCAGGAAGAGGATCATGCAGAGAGTGCTCCAGAGGTCCCAGGCGGTGTGAGCCTCCGGCTGCTGCTGGCCCTCTTCTTCTGCCTGCTGCAGGGCCTCCTTCTCGGCCACCAGCCGCGACACCTCCTCTTCCAGGCGCAGGTGCTCCAGCCGCAGCTTCTCCTGGTGCTCCTGCATCTTGCGGATGATCTCCTCCTCATTCTCGGGGACCGTGGCGTTCTCCCGAGGGAACAGCAGTGGGTGGTTGACGATGGCCGTCACCACCACCAGGCAAACTCGGAAAAGCCCCATGGCCATGGCTGTGGTGCTCCTAAAACAGAGAAAGACACTGCTGGTCACACCTATGCTTCCTTCTAGGACACTTCCCCCTGGACCCTTGTGCCAGCCTCTGCCCCCAAGAGCTAGTGACGGTCCTCACACTCAACCCCCAGAGGTCTCCTGTCACCATCTCCCACGCTCCAGCCCAGCCTTAGGCTTTTCTACATGCCACAGAACAATTCTCTTGATGGAGCCAGGGCGCTCTTGACCTGAGGGTCAACCTTCTCTCCTCATGGCTCTTTGGTTGGGGTAGATATAAACCCACATCTCAAATCCAGGGGTGAGCACAGACGCCAGACCCAAGACAACTAGACTATTCAGTACAGCCACAGCTACACTCACAGGGATTGGTTCCGTGGTGAATAAGTGAATAATCCAAGCCAGTGGGAAGTAAGGCTTTCCTTGTTGCTAGGGTTGTCTGAGAACAGGCTTACTTCTACAGGGCGGACTGCTCTTCAGCCACCCACACGGGGAACCTGCCACCAGCACAGAGGAAACACACCCTGGACTCAGCTGCGTGTGAAATCGTCTCTTCTGGGTTTGCAGGCAGGTGAGTCAATGAGGAAGTCCCTTCTCTTTAAGCCCAGTGTGAGCTGTTCTTTAGTCTTCAAACACTGACTTCTGTCTCCACTGGATTTTGGTTAGTGACTGTGTTTTCCTGCAGGACACTAATACCTGGTGGCTAAGAGCAGCAGGTTCTAAAGCTAACCATGTCAGAGTCACCGTGATGCCGGGCATGCTAACTCACCTCTCTGAGCCTAGGTGTCTTGGTTGAAGAGAAGAAGGTAATCGTATCCCCCACAGGGTCATGGAATTGATGCCCCTTGTTTCTCTTATCAAAGCACCTGAACTTGAATCTAACCTCTTTTTTTTTTTTTTTTTTTACGAGACAGGGTTTCTCTGATTGTTTTGGAGGCTGTCGGTCCAGCCTGGCCTCGAACTCACAGAGATCCGCCTGCCTCTGCCTCCCGAGTGCTGGGATTAAAGGCATGCACCACCAACACCCAGCTGAATCTAACCTCTTAACAGTTTCTCCAGGACAAGTGGATTTTTAGACCTTAAGTAACTTTTTGGAGAAGGGCTAACTTCTTGCAATGTTTGCAATGGAAACTATGATACACAGAGCAGTGGTGAAGTATCACCTGAAATCTTGTCAGAAACCCAGAATCAAGCTGGGTTTGGGGTTGACACACTTAGGAGACGGAGTCAGGACTGCCATGAGATTCAAGGTTAGCTTAGGCTAGACAGTGAGGCCCACCCCCCCAAAAAGAGAGTGTTTAGCAGGTGAGTACACACACTTGCTGCTCGTACAGAGAACCAGTGTTTGCTCCTCGAATCTGTATCATACAGTGTATAACCACCTGTCTCCAGGTCCAGGGGATCTGACGCCCTCTTCTGGTCTCCTTGAGCACTACACGCCTGTGGTATGGACAGACATGCAGATAAAACACCATTCCCATAAAAAAGAAACTCAGCTGCTTAGAGAATGTAACTTTGAAGCTACATTCTGAGCGATGTGTTGAGGTCATGCTGCTCTGCTCCTTCTTGCCTGGAACATGAGTCATACATCTGTCCCAAACAGCCCCCCAGCATACACTACCCACCCGTTAGTGACTGGTGAGCCGCCTTGGCCATCAGACGGGCTGCCATGATGCCACAGAGTTATGGTCAAGCAACCCTTATTTAACTTTATACCGGCGATTTGAATATTCGGATGAGAAACAGAAAAGGGTATCTTTTATGTGAAAAGACAGGCATTCTCAAGAAACAAGAAACAACAAACAAGATCATATTCCAAGGTCTCCTGTCTAAAACTGTGATGAAGGAAAAGAGATTCTTGTGAGTTTTGTTGTTGAATCTCAAATTGCAGAAGCTATAGCTATATGCATGGTGAGCAGAGGGAAAGACTTTAGGCGTCTCTCTCTCTCTCTCTGTCTCTCTGTGTGTGTGTGTATGTGTGTGTGTGTCTAGGATAAGGGATACCTCAGCATTACCATTTCAACGCACCCTCTCCTTTCCCAGCAGGAACCTTGGGAATTAACCATCTACCCTTTCCATGCCTGCCCTGTCCCTTTCCTTCCAGTGACCTCAGCAAAGAGAGTGACGATCTTGAGATTGTTGTTGGACAACAAACAGAAGAACCCTCCTGGGGTTAAGCCAACACTGGCTGGCAGGAAATTTCCAGGCACTTTGGCTTGAGTCCCCTGACCTTGAATTTGCATGAGGAAATTTTTACCCCATGGTACCTGGGAAGAGGGGTTCACCAGCAGGTGAGGGTTCCCTAGCAAGGGGAAGATGTACACCCACAGCCTCTGTTGGCTGCTGGCCAGGGGAAGCTGCTCTTCAAAGGTAGCTCAGACAGCTCCACCCCAGACACAGCTGCAGCAGTCAGCAAGATCCAGAGGTTGGGGTGTGGAGGTTAGCTCCAGGGAATCCCAAGAGGAGACAAGTTCAGGCTGAGCTCACAGGTTTCTACAGAGCAGGAAGCCAGGGGCGGGAGAAAGTTCAGGAGGTCAGGCTGGAAGACGGAGGGTGGGGGAAAAGTCAAGGGCAGCCAGCCAGCCTCCCATTTGTGAGCTGGGGGTGGAGTGGAGGGGCTGGTTAACAGCAAAAAACTGAGTGGCCACGGTTTCCACAGCACAGAAACTGCAAAGGATGATCCACCAGGTGGCCCAAGGCAGAGCTGTGAGGCTGCTTGATGGGCGTGGTTAATGAGCTTTAAATGGAGTGCCAGCAGCGTGACACCAGACAGCAGCCAGCTAGTGATGTGACTATAGGAGGTCCCAAGGTCCTTCAAGGCCCCTGTAACACAGGCAGCAGCCTTTCGGCACAGCTGTACCCATGGCAACTCCATCCTGGGAGGGAGTCAGTTTCCACATCAATGGGGGAGGGAGAACATGCCACCAATGGGTGTGTGTGTGTGTGTGTGTGTGTGTGTGTGTGTGTGTGTGTGTGTGTGTGTGTGTGACCAACACTAAGCCCCAGCCTGGAAAATCCTCTTAAGTAGAGCAAGGCCTTGTGCCGGCTGGAGGATGCCCCCTTGTTAAGAGCTCAAAACCAAGGAGTTAAGTGCTCTTGGAGGAGACAGACTAAGTTAGGAAAAGCACAGGCACCTTGGGCAAATTACTCGACTTTTCTGACCCTCCCTCTGCATCTGTCATGGGAAGAGAGATGCCCTGCTGTTGTCAAGCCTGACTAAGGTAATGCCCCCCAGAGCTGTAGTGCAACCCTGGCCACTGAGTGGGGGCTCTTATCAAAGAGGACCTGCGATTGGGTGGGAGTACACAGCTGCCCCCTGCCTGCCAGGGAGGACACAGCCAGCACCTGTGGGGGTTACAAACCTTGCTAAAAGCCCCAGCAACCAGCACAGCAAACATAAGGCGCCCTGCTGCGGAGAAGCCCCGCAGACCTGGCCTTGAACTCCAGTGGAGCATTCTCAGGTGGATCACTCTTCTCCCTAGGGCTCTCTCATCCTCGTCTGTGAGGAGGTCAGAACCGGCCCTCCTTTACCAGGGTGCTGGAGTGGAGTGCACGTGGGTGCTCTGCCCAGGCATCCCACACGTGACAGCTTCGTCCCCTCCGCCTCCACAGGCTGTTTTCTCGCCGCCAAGCACACCAGCCCTGCCCAAGTCTTGGGGTGTGGAGGAATGCACGCTGGAAAGTGCTTTGGAGGCAGAAAACACTCCGCTGCTACTGCTGCTCCTTGGCACAGTGCTCGGTCCACCCTGCCCTTCAGCAAATAGGGAGGATCCTTCAGAGCCCAGACCTTCCTGCGAGTGGGGAGGTCCTGCTGGCTCACCTCACTCACCCATCATCCCCTTCCCAGGGATCTTAACCCATTTGTCATTTTGTCCCTTGCTAACCTCTGTGGAGGCTGTAAGCAGAGTCCCAGGGGTGGGGCAGGAGGGCCAGGCCAAGATACTGAATGGCTTGCAGCCACTCCCTGCTTAGCACCCAGATTGGGATTGAAGCCTCTGCTCTTCTGGTTCCCAAGCCAGTTAACAGGGACCAGTGTCCTGAAGGCCCTGGGCAGGAGTGGGGGAGGATTTTGTGTTCTGATGTAAAGTTCTTGTAAACCAGGAACACATGCGTGTGCACACACACACATTCCTACACATGCTTCCCCAAAGGGTACCTTTCCCCCATTTCAAGGACATCTGTTTCTGCTGGTCCCAAGAGCTCTCAGCTTTGAGACTGTCTCACACCTGTGGTTTGTGACATCTGTTGGCAGCCTTGGCTTTGGGGATAAACCTGGGCCATTTGGTGAGCTTTCGCCTGCTTGCCAGGAAGCAGACAGGAAGCCTGCTGAATTCCTCTCCACCCCAGCCTCACCCACAGGGAGGGCGGCTCATACAGCTAAATTTAGCCTGGCAAAGAGCCAGGTCTTGGGGTACAGAGGCTGGGTAAAGACGGCCACCCGAGATGTCTGGGTGAATGTGGTAGTCAGGACAGGTATTCTGCCAGGCTCTTCCTGTAGGCTGGCCAGAAGCCCAAGACCCTAGAGGAGAAGCATGAGATGGCTAATTAACGGGGTGCCTTGTTCCTGTACCCCCACAGCATTGCCCACAATGGCTTTGGTGAACAAACACCACTAGTGGTTTATTGACCATAGCTCCTGTCTGACAAGCCCTCATTAGGATGTGCTTGGCACAGTCCACAGTGGCCATCATGGCCTTCCAAGAGGTGGCTATGATCCCTGTTTCACAGATGGGTTAATGAAAGCTCAAAGGGATATCTAGACACATGGCTAGAGAGGCCAGAGCCCCCTGGCATTCCAGCGCTCTGCCTGCATGGCCCAGGCTCTCCCGCTGCCTGCCCGCAAAGCCCAGGCTTTCCCAAGGTTGCTGTTGCTGTGGCAAAGCACCTGAGTGCCAGGAGAAAGTTGGAGGCTTCAGGCGCCTCAGTGATGACTGCAGCACCATCCCTGACAGAAAAGCCTTATCGTCCACATGGGGAGTCAGACAGCCATGGCACCCCACTGGGCACATGGAA